GCGCAGGCGAGACCACGCCCCCCGGCTCGGGGTCGACCGAGGGGTGTTGGGGGGGGGAGGCGGAGCCTCCCGGATGATTTCTTGGTTAGCGTAGAGAGGGCGGGACTTCAGAGTGAAGTGGGCGGGCAAGCGGCCGGCCGCCCCTCCGCACCGGGTTCTGCGGTTCTGCGGTGCATCTTTAGGGGCTGCCCTCTGAGACACCCGAATAGTGGAAGGAAGTGGCGGTGTCGCGGAGGAAGCCTGGGAGCCGGGTGGCCGGGTCCTCCCCAGCATCTGGCAGAAGCTGCCGGACCTGGAACAGGTTACTTGCCTCCTCGGGCCTCGCTCTTCTCCGTCTGTACAGTGAGCAGCTTGGTCCGGCTCACTTTCAGAGCCCAGAAGTCGTGATATAGGGGTCGGAGAGCACGCTATTGCCGGGCCTCCACGTTCAGCTTCAAATCTCTGCTTACACCCGTGTGACCTTGAAGACACAAACCGGAGGCTCAGTTACTTCGTCTGTACAATGGGACGATGAGAGCATGGCCTTTTCTCTAGGGCGGTGGTGAGGTGGATACGTGAGATAACACGGTCAGCTGCTTCTGTCAGCACCCAGTCGATGGCATGTGAGCCCTCTACCCCCGTCCTCGCCAGTGTCATGCAGTATCTGACCCTCACCCTGCAGCAACTTCGTACCTACTTTCTCCCAGCCCTACAGGCTGTCAGGGCCCCTAGTGGCGCCCCAGCCATTAGAGAGGCAGCTGCTCCTTCCTGAGAGTGACGGTCCTGAATGACCTCGGGCTAATTAAGTCAGGGCTACCCAGGACCACCTCCTGGATGTAGCCCAGCCCTACTCCCAGAGCACCTTAGCTCCGCCCCTTCCCCAGACCCACCATCCTCCCACCGCAGGGACAGGAGAATGCATAGTCACCTCTGCTGAAGAGTGCAGAGCACCCAGGAGAGGGGATTCTGACTGCAGAGAAGAAAGCTTGTAGCAGCTTTTTCTTTCATGAAGGTTCCGCGAGAGGTAGAGCATTGAGAGCAAAGCAGAAGGAACTTGGCAGTGGCCAGCAAAACTGTGTGGGGCCAACAGGCCTGATTACCACACAGGATATTGGGCAAGAGGGTTCCAGGAAGGCTGGGAAGCTGGAAGGGGCTGGACCCCACTGTCATCAAGGCCAGGGGCCATCTGGGGGCCTGCAGTGAGCTGACAGCTCACTGCAGGCCCCACAAAGAATTCGGGCGGTATGCTGGGTGGGACCTGGGCGGGGGCACCGAGGAGCCAGGTACCCACTGGGCTGCCTCCACAGCTGGATGTGGGCAGGAGGGTCTAGGGGAGGGGCCAGCAAAACAGTCTGGGAGAGGCCAGGATTCTTGGCCAAGAGCCCTTCCCATGTTCTGCAACCCTAGGTGCACCGTGCCCTCCCACAACTGTGCGAACCGGGGCTGAGGGAGGCATTATGGAAGATGGCGGGTGCCCAAAGACTGAGATGAGCCAAGGGGACCTTTTTCCTGGGTCCCTGTACAGCCATCATGAGGGTGATCTGCAGGTACCTTTAAAAAATTTCCCACAGGCAAGTCAACCGTTAGCAGCCCATTAAGAATATTCGCGTGTCCCCTTAGGTGTCAGGGGGGCGGGGTCTGCACCTAGGATGAAATGAGCCAAGGATGTTACAACTGTCCTCCCCACCGACAGCTGCTCGCCCCAACTCCATACCTCCTAGCCTGACCTGGACCATCGCTTTGCCTTCTTTCCATCAGGAAAACACTTTGGTCTCATCCAGGTGTAAGCGCATTGCCCCCGCCAAACCCACAAATCTATAGCCTTGTCCATTAGGGCCTGTGATTGGCTTCTGCTCGTTTGCCAACCCGAAGCTTTGCTCATTTCTGTGCTGCCAGCAGCTACGAGACGCTCCAGGCGACATCACCGGGGGCCAGGTGTGCCCAGAACGCTCCGAAGGAAGCCGGAAGAGAAGAGCAATGCCCCCCCCCGCCCCCACCCCACCACCGGCATGTTGCGGCCCAGACGGTGTCTGTGGCTGAATTGTCAAAGAGCACCGTGGGGCTCTCTTCGCCAAGCTCTTTTTTTTTTTTTTCATCTTCCTAAACTGTGGGGTGGGCAGGAGTCAGGGTTAACTCAGCCCGCTTCACTTCACAGACATGGCAAGTGAGGCCCAGAAAGATGAATGACTCACGAGAGAGGTCTGTGGAGTTAGAAAGAAAATCACGTGGCGGGTTCTATTTTCAGAACGACTCACCAAGTCAGCTCCCCTCGTTCACTCTGCTCTTTGCACCGGGAGGGGAGGGGGGGGAGGGGGAGAACAGGTGTTGTGGATTTGCAGCCACAAGTCGAGTTTTTCACCCCCAGACATGAGAAAGCTCAGCGCTTTTTCTGCCCTAAGGACGGGCTTTGTGACGTCCGCATGAAGTAGCTACAGACAATATGTTTGTTTTTCTATTGCGGCGGTGACAACTTACCACCATTGAGTGACGAAAGCAATGCAAACGTATTATCTTACAGTCCTATGGGCCAGAGGTCCAGCGTGGGCCCCCCGGGGCTAAAACCACAGGCTTGCAGGGCGGCTACGTTCCTTTCCAGGGCAGCCCTTTTCTGGCTCATTTGGGTGCCTCCGGAAGTCAGTTCCTTGTGGTTTAGGACTGAGATCCCCGTTCCCTGGCTGGCTGTCCGCTGAGGGCCATTCGCAGCTTCCAGAAGCTACCACATTCCCTGGCATATGGTCCCTTTCCTCAGTCTTCAAAGCCAGCCACAGAGGGTTGAGTGCTTTGATCTCGCCTCCGTTTTGGGGTTCATGTTTCTGACCCTTCTGGGAAAGGGCCTCTACTTTTTAGAACCCATATATTAGATTGGGCACACTTGGATAACCCAGGATCATCTCCCATCTCAAAGTCCGTATCCTTAGGCACATCCGCAAAGTCTCTTTTGCCGTGTAAGGTGACATGAGCACAGGTTCCAGACATTAGGGCCTGGACATCTTCAGGGAGTCATTATTCTGCCTACCGCCAACTAGAACTTTCCAGACTCCTAAACCCTCTTGATTGTCCAGGATCTTTACCACATGACTTTTTACACATAACTTTACTAAAATATAATTCACATACTATATAGTTTACTCATTTAAAGCGTACAATTCAGGGGCACCTGGGTGGTTGGGTCAGTTAAGCATCTGACCCTTGGTTTTGGCTCAGGTTACAATCTCATGGTTTGTGGGATAGAGCCCCCCCATCAGGCTCTGCGCTGACAGCGTGGAGCCTGCTTGGGATTCTCTCTCTCTTTCTCGCTCCCTCTCTGCTCCTCCCTGGCTTGTGCTCTCTCTCTCTCTCTCTCTCTCTCTCTCTCTTAAAATAAATAAACTTACGTTAAAAAAATAAAGCATACAATTCATCGGTGTTTAGCAGCCACAGAGTGGGGCAGCCATCATCAAGATCAATTTAGAACAGTTTCATCACCCCAAGAAGAAACCATGTACCTGTTACCCCTCACTCTCCATTTCTCCCCCACCATCTCAACCCTAGGTGGCCACTAATCCACTTTCTGTCTCTGTGATTTGCCAATTCTGGACATTACATATATGTGGAATCATATAATGGGTGGCCTCTTGTGTCTTTCTATGATACACACACACACACACACACACACACACACACACACACACACAAATAACGTGTAGCAACATAATGTTTTCAAGGTTCATCCATGTTGTGGTATGTATCGATACTTCCTTCTTTTTATCGCTAAATAATATTTGATTGCATGGGAATGCAACATTTTGTTTATCCGTTCATCAGCTCATGGACATCTGTGTGATGGGGATTTCCACTTGGAGAGCATTATGAATAACGCTGCTATGAACATATGTATCCGTGATTTTCCGTGGACCTGGTTTTATTTCTCTTGGATACATACCTAGGAGTGGAATCGGCCAGTCGTATGGTAACTCAGCAATTTCTTGAGAAACTGCCAGAATGTTTTCGACGGTGGCTATACCGGTCTGTCTACATTCCCACCAATAATGTAGGAGAGTTGCTATTTCTCCACCTCCTTGCCAGCATTTGTTATCATCTGACTTCTTGATTCTAACCATCCTCGTGGGCGTGAGTTGGGATCTAACTGCGGTGTTGATTTATGTGTTCTCGATGGTTTTTGTCATTGAGTCTCTTTTCATGGGCTTATTGGCCACGTGTTTATCTTCTTTGCAAAAATGCCTAGTCAGGTTCTTTGCCCAGTTGCCAATTGGGTTATCTTTTTATTATGGAGTTGGTAGAATTCTTTATATATTCTAGATACAAGTTCCTTCCCAGATGGATGGTTTGCAAAAATTGTCTCCCATTCTGTGGGTTGTCTTTTCACTTTCTTGATGGTGGCCTTCGAAGCATAAGGGTTGTAATTCTGATGATGTCCACCTGCTCTATTTTTTCTTTGGTGGCTTGCCTTTTCAGCGTCCTATTCTACAAAGGCTTTGCCTAATCCAATGTCATGGAAATATAGGCTTGCATTTTCTTCTAAGAGTTCAATAGTCTCAGCTCTTACATTTAGACTCTTGGTCCGTCTTGAGTTGATCTTTGTATATGACCTGAGAGGCAACGAGTTTAACTTCATTCTTTTGCATGTGGACATCCAGTTTTCCCAGGATGCTTTGTTGGACTGTCTCATAAGATGCTCCGGAAACATCTGTTTGGATAGCTGCGCAATGCTGACGTGACCAAAGTCCCTGCCCAGTCCGGTGAGACAGACCCTTGGCAGACCGATGCCTGGCAAATAATAGTCCCTTAAAAAATGCTTGCCAAGTGAATGTGGTGGAAGGTGGGGAGCCAGCCCTACCAGGTTCGGGTGTTGGCGGCCCCTCCACTTGGCGCGTGGCCGTGAGTCACTCTGAGGGTGTCTTCTCGAAGCAGCCACCTGACAGGCGGCAGTCAGCAGTCTGAGGAGGTACATCAGTGCCCTTGAGTAAGAGAGGTAAACCAATGATGTCACTAGTGGCTGAGCCAGGTCTCAGGAAAAAAAAAAAAAATTCCCAAATTTTGTTTTGAGGCTGCCTGGGAGGTAAGGGGTCGAGGGAAAAGAAGAGAGAGGGCTGGGGAGCAGCCGGCCTGAATGTGAACCAGGACGGGGGACCATGAGTAACAAAGCGAGGGGCTCCGGTGCTCAATCAAGGTCAGGGTTTCTTGCCTCAAGCTTCAAGAGGCAAAAGCACAGAAGAGCTCTTGGCTGGCAGATGAAATGAAAAGATAAGGCTGCTGGCAGCCGCCCCAGACATCTCTGCACCAACAAAAGCTGCATCGCATCCTTCGGGCCAAGTGGGGTTGCAGCGTGGGGACGGCCAAGCTTCTGGAGCGGGCGCCGGAGGAGCCTGGGGTCTGGGGAAGGACAGGGCACCCTTGCAGGGGAAACGTGATGGTCAGCAGGACCTCACGAGACAGAGGCCGGCTTCCCGTTGGCCTCTCCAGGAAGCAGGCACCGTCTGCCTTTCCCAGCCCTGACGCTGCAGCTGTCTTGTCTGGGGCCGGGAGTTTGGAAGCCTCTGGTGAGCCAGCAGCTCCCAGGAGGCTACAGGGTCACAGCAGGGGATACCTCCACAGTCATCGGCCCCCTCCACCCCTCCCCTCTGCAGCCGTGGAAATACAGGTAAGGCGCCCCTCATTCATCTGTCCGGTACTCACGACATGCCAGGAGTCTAGGCTCAGGGGAGGCGACTGTGACCAAGGCCCCTGTCCTCGAGGAGCTTCTATTCTACTCCAAGCGGAGGGGTGTGGTGGGGAGGTGTAAAAAAGAAAGTACAGAGGCCCCCGAGACAGGAAACAGCGTGGCATCTCGGAAGAACTGGGAGGGATCCCGTGTGGCCAGACCACCGAGCGAGAATTGGCCTGAGTCTGGCGGTAGGCGCCCGTGAGGAACGTGGATTTTCTTCTAACATACAGCAGAGGGCTCTGGGAATCGTAAGGAGGAGAGCAACACGATCAGTGTTCGTTTTGGAAGAGTCCCCAGGGTTCCTGGGCCACAGGCTTAGAGGAGAAGCACATTGAGAGGGTGGGGGGTCATCGAAGGGTCCAGACAGGCTGGGGGGGGGGGCACAGCTC